AAGAAGAGAATGGGGCGCCGAATGGGGCTGCACCGACCGACTCACTGCAAGAATCGAATGAAGGTGATAGAGTTGCGTCATCGTTGGCGGATGGTCTCCGTTTATCACCAGGGGCGGAAGAATCCATGGGCGATGCGATTCAGAACAACGAAGGTGGCGGGAACGGGGATGTCCAAATGGAAGACGCACCAAACGGCCGAGAACCCGATCAACACGATGTTCCCAGTGCAGGTGCCAGTCAACCTCGAGATCAAAACGGAACAGGAAATGCTGAAGCTCCTGCTGACAGCAATGCAGGACAGAACGAACTGGTTTGTCCACCAGGTATGGATGCTGATGTGTTCGCCGTTCTTCCCATCGAAATGCAAAGAGAAGTAGTTGAACAGGCACGATCAGAAGCAGATCTTGCAGCGCAGCTCGATGCTGGTTCATCTCTTGACCTTGATGCTCTTGCGGCATTACCAGAAGATATGCGACGCGAAGTCATCGAACAGGAGCAACGGGAACGCCGGATGATCGAAGCTCCGGCCGATCCTGCCAATGCTGAAGAAATGGACAATGCAAGCTTTGTTGCATCGCTGGCTCCTGACCTCCGAAATGAAATTCTGTTGACAGCAGACGATGCGTTCTTGCAGAGTCTACCACCAGATATCATTGCTGAGGCCCAACTATTGCGAGAGCGGGCTTCATCTGGCCGACGCAACATACAAATGGCAATGGGAGCAGAACAGAATCGCGAGAGCGGAATCACGAACAGCGCTTCAAATGCACCTCATCGCAGCGGCCAGGCGTCCTCCGGAAGAGATCAAAGCGATGTCGCTGGAGGATCAACAAGTCGAAGACGACAGCGGGTAGGAAAATTACGTGTTGAACGTGACAGGGATATAGTCGTATATCTTCCCCCAGGGGGCGCCACCACCTTATCAACCCCTGTATCAACCGCTGATGTGAAAGCAATGTTGCGTTTGATGTACCTATTATCGCCAGTGCGACCCCAGCGTCTACTTCAAAAGGTTTTCCAGAACCTTTCTGCTACTCCAATGCTCCGCTGTGTACTCTCGGCTACCTTCATCAAGTTACTGCACGATGATAGGGCAGGTGCATTAGATACACTTGGAAAACTGGAGAAATCATATTCGGATACAGATGACGGGAGATCTCGTGTCGACCTACAGTTTGCTGACTCCTTGCGAGACTTTCCTCCTGGACACCTCATCGGAACCGCTCCAGAAATTCTTGATACTGAAACTCTGAATCCAAGTTTCACTATGCTTCGAAGGAAGCAAACAAGCGATACTGTTGCCTCTATTGCAGCAAACTTGCCAACGAGTTCCCGAGGATCTCGGCATGACGCGAATATTCCACCTGTTGTTGCAACTCGTATGGTCGAAACGCTCTTGCAAATGTGCAAATCTTCCCCAAGGTTTTGTGTCGAATTATTGATCGAGAACTCGGAAGAGCAAGGCTCGATGTTTCCAAATTCGACGGGATTCGAGATATTGCTTGATCTCCTTCGAAAACCAAGATACTCCAAGAGTTCTTCAAATCTAGAACAACTTCTGACGTTACTCGAGGCTGCCGTTTCACCTTTGTCACAACTCTCGAAGCACGGTGAAGAGGAGGCAGAAATCTCAAAGCAGGACATCGAAGCAGCTGCCAATGCAGGGAAAGAGTGGCTGGATGTTCCAAGAATTGTTGTGTCGCAAGAACGACTTCAGGCCTTGTGCGCGATACTCAGAATGGAAACCTGCCGTGATGCTGGCTTCGCCAGAGTCAACACCATCGCTCGGCGTCTCTGCAGAGTTGATGCAAATAGAGGTTACGTCTTGGCCGAGCTTGCGTCTGTTGCCAGAGCCCTTGGTGTTGATGCCATTCGCGATCTCAAAGCACTTGGAATTAGAATGTCTGACGTTGCTAGACAAGAACCTGTTGGTGATGACAAGGGTGGCAAGTCTTCAGAGCAGAATGCTAGTGCAAACAACGCAGGAAGCGCTTCCAACTCCGTCGCAGTCTCAACAAGTACCAGCGAGTTGAAATTGCTTCGGGTTTTGCAGACCCTACAAGCCCTTTGCATTGATCCATCCGAAGATGCATCCAATAAGAAAAATGAAGGCGTGTTCGTTACTGAGGAACTCGTCCAACTTTTGCGTGCAATGAATCTAGACGAGCTGTGGGCCGAATTGACCAATTGCTTGAAGATTGTCCAAGTGCTCGAGGGTGTGAAGATCGAGGAGGATGCAGACAAGAAGGACGATACCGCAGAGGGCAACGACGGTGACGAAAATGAAGAAGAAAAGGGCGGAAAGATCCTACAAAGTAGTATTGCTGGATTGTTGACTAGATTCTTGCCTTCGATCGAAGCGTTTTTTGTTGCGAATGCCAGCTCAACGCGTATCGAGAAAAGCAGAGAAGATGGAAAAGACCAGATTCCTTCGGATAAAGAAAACGCAAATCTAGAACACCTTGTCGGAGGAAAGAACCTGGTTGACTTTGTGACAGCCAACAAGGTCCTATTGAATGCCTTGGTTAGGACAAATGCAAATCTTCTTGATAAGGGTCTGAAGGCTTTGATTTCTGTTCCTCGGTGCAGACAATTCCTTGACTTTGATGTCAAGAGACAGTGGTTCAAGACCCAGGTCCGTCGTTTGCGTCAGCAAGCCAGCCGACGACATGGTAGTCTCAGACTGCACATTCGGCGAAGACATGTATTTGAAGATGCATACCATGCACTTCGGTTGAGGAATGCAGATGAAATGCGTGGAAGATTGCACATCACTTTCCGAAATGAAGATGGCGTTGATGCAGGAGGTTTATCACGTGAATTTTTTGGCATTCTATCGAAGGAAATGTTCAATCCAAACTATGCCTTGTTTACCTCAACAGAGGATGGGAGTACATTCCAGCCAAACCCAAACAGCAGCATCAATCCGGACCATCTCAGCTATTTCCGATTCGTTGGACGCATTGTCGGAAAAGCTGTGTCAGACGGATATTTGTTGGATGCTCATTTCACTCGGAGCTTGTACAAGCATATGCTTGGCATCAAGGTAAATACACATTCGTGTAGCGAGTTTAGTGTTGCTTTTTTTTACCGACACTCACCCACTATATCCTTTATCAGCCAACGCATCATGACATGGAAGCGATTGATCCTGATTATTACAAAAATCTCAAAACCATTCTGGAGTACAACCTGGACGATTTGGGGCTCGATCTCACTTTTTCTACAGAAGATCACTCGTTTGGACGAACACGAATGGTCGATTTGCTTCCTAACGGCAGAAATTCTCCGGTCACAGAGCAGAACAAATCCACATATGTTTCTCTTGTCTGCCAACATCGCATGACAACTGCAATTAAGAGTCAGATCAAAGCATACCTTGACGGATTCCACGAGCTCGTGAGCCCCGATCTCGTTCAGATATTCTCTCCTCGCGAACTTGAGTTGCTGATCTCTGGCTTGCCGGATATCGACGTCCATGACCTGAAACAGAATACAGACTATGTTCAATGGAAAGCAGCGGACAAGCAAATCCAGTGGTTCTGGAATGTGCTCTTTTCACTCTCGCGAAATCAAAAAGCAGCTTTCCTACAGTTTGTCACAGGAAGCGCGAAGGTTCCGTTGGCTGGATTCGGCGAGCTTCCTGGAATGCGAGGGGTTCAAAAGTTTAGTATCCACAAAGCAGGAGGAAGTAGTGGTGCCCTCATGTCGGCACACACCTGTTTCAATTCGTTGGACCTGCCAGTGTACAATAGCGAAGAGGAACTAAAGGAAAAGTTGCTTTACGCAATCAATGAAGGAGGCGGTACCTTCCAACTTGCATAATAGACCAGTCATGGCAGACATTCAAATGTAAATAATAGCACGATCTGGAATTTGCAACCAGATCGTGCAATTATAGAAAAGACATAATTAATGAGATTATAAAATGAATTAGCTGCATGAAGATACGCAATTTGCGATTAGTTTTCAAGGCTGTTCGATGGTAGACAGCTACACGGGAAGTAGGATAAAGGAATCTTCGGGCGGGAGAATGGAATAGTATGAGAGGCTCAAAATACAATTAGAAATACCGGGAGAAATCGCTTGTGCTTACTAGTACGACATGTCATTACCGCTTCCTTGTTGCACGGAAGGTTGGAATAATTGTGCAAAACTAGTGTTTATAATGGATTTAGATGTATTTTTCATTAGATGTACAAATGTTGCAGAAGCGCCATATGTCAGATGTACACATGCCTCTTCTACTGGAGAGCAAAAAGGGAAGAACATGCTACTGTGCGTTCTTGACGAGGAATGGTGACAATTTACTTCTCAACTGCTCCATATTCCGACTTCAGGATTGCAATCAACTCGGGGATCAAATATTCATCCTCGAGCGGGATTCCAGTCTTGATAGGCTCCATGGCCAAGTGGGCATCTTCCCCAATTCTGCCACCGACGAAAATCTTGCAGCCTGGAACTGCCATTTGCTTCCCGTCGACCTCCTTTTTCGCGGGAGCTCCCATGATACCAATGTCTGCAGCTTGCACTTGTCCACAGCTGTTTGGGCTGTTTCAACGAAAGAATTGGTGAGCAACACTGTTTTGGGGGAAGTGATAGTCATATAAATTGGAAAGACCTACCATCCAGTCCAGTGAATACGGATTGGTCTATCAACGGTGACAAGCGATTCTAGCTTCTTTGCCATTTTCTCTGCGTTTGATTTGGTTTCGACCAAGGCCAAAGGACAAAATTGAGCACCGGTACAACTGACGACATTTCCTTCAATAAACCCAGGGGTTGCACTGAGGCGGCTGCCTCCACCAAGCACACCTTCAGCCAAGAGATCATCGATTTTGCCTTCGTCAACATTTGGCAGAATGACATTTTGTTCAACAGTCAATCGAATTTCACCTTCGGAGTACTTATCAGCAAGATCGGCAAGATTTCTGCATTCTACAGGACTGAGGCGACCGGTGGGGACCAAGATACCGACACGCTTCAACCCCTCTTGCTTTTGTGGTTGAACACCCAAGAGTTCACGACGTTCAAAAGCTCCTGTAGCCGCTGGTTGACTGTCTTCGATCATGACCCCTCTGTCATAGCTCTCGACCTCCTTGATGATGGCTTCCTTGAATCCATCTACGCCATACTCTTCAACAAGCCACATGAGACGAGCCTTTTGTCTGTTCTTACGTTCGCCTTCGTCACGGAAGACTCGAAGGATGGCCTCGCAAAGACTAACGACCGAGTTACGGTCGGCGGGAATCCACATCTTGGAATCGATGGATTCAGCGACTCGTTTGATAGACATGTATCCTCCCAAGACAACATTGAAACCCATTTCCCCGGTTTCGGCATGAGCTACTGGCTGCAAACCAATATCGTTGATGTGAGTGTGAGCGAAATCATCTCTGGAACCAGAAATGGCCATGTTGAATTTGCGGGGAAGATTGGCCCACTGTGGGTTTCCCCGAGTCTCAGTGACTGGGTCCAAACTGACCAAGTCGTTCAAGGCATTACACAATTCACGTGTGTCCACCAATTCTTTGTCATCAATGCCTGCCAAAGGAGATCCTACCATATTTCTGACACTATCCAAAGCGGATTGGAAAGAAGTTTGGTTGCGTGCATGAAGGCCATCAATGATATCAGGAGCGTCTTCAATCTTCACACCACGAAGCTGAATATTAGCACGAGTAGTAATGTCAACAACTCCTCCCTCTCCGTACTTTTCAACACTGTCGGCATAGAATCTCATTTGGTCAGAGTTAACAATTCCATTGGGGACCTTGAGACGCATCATGAATTGCCCAGGAGTGCGTTTTCCTCTGTGGAGCATACCAACATATTTGAGACGCTGTGATTATAGAAATATGAGGTTAGGTCATTGCAATCTCGAGCTTTCAGGTAAAGTTACAACAATTGTTGACGTACGCAGTCAAGATCGGCCTTCTCGACTTCTTCCCAAGTCATTTCCCCTTCTCTGATCTTTCGAGCATATTCGTAGACATCGATCCAAGAATTGACTGGGTCCTTAGCCAGCTTGTTCTTTTCAATTGGGCTTCCAGCCTTGGCTCTTTCGACAGTTTCTTCGGGAAGAAATGATGTTCCAGTTGGTTTCTCAACCTTGATGTCAGTCCCAGTGGCTGCATTGCGTTGGAAAGCATTTCGTTGCAATTTAGCGGGCACAAAGGCCTTGGTAGAAGAGAGGGTGACAATGGCCACGACCGTGGAAAGAATGGATCGCTTCATGGTTCTTGTCGTTTTTATGACAGATTTCTTGATAAGATGTGGACTGAAGTTCGTCTTTTTCCGGAAACAAATGAGCCACGTATGCTTGTTCGTATTTCTTGTTCATAAATCGGGAAACTGCCTCCGGAAGTTATGCGTGAGACCATTTCAATACGAAATCCCGTTTCTTAACGATACGAAAATAGTAGGAGATACCGTATTGGATACTTCCGTCGGGACGCGACCATAACCCACACGTTGCATACGTGGCGGAGTTGTTCCTCTTCTTCCGGAAATATGAACTCACACCATTTTTGATGCCACTGTTGTTGTTCCACATCTGAAACGAATGAATCCTTGCCAGAGTCCAATGCTGAATAATTGATTGATAGGAAAAGAAGCGAATTAAGTGGACCAGCCATTATAATTTTTGAAAACACAGAGTTGCAACTTTCATGCATTCCATTTTCTGTTTGGAAAAGCTCTCAAGCACGACCCTCCTGCATGACAACGATTTCACGATGTGCTGCTCACGTTTGAAAAAAATATTGTTTGAGTGTGGGTTGCGCCATGGGTAGAGGGTATTTGGAGATTTATTTTATGCAGTCGCTGTTACCACCGCGCGGTTTCATCCCATTGGTACCTGGTACTGTACGGTACCGGTAGCGCGTCTAGATATGGTCTATCATTGCCGCTGAGATCATGCTGACTGGACAGTTTGAAAATTATTTTTTGAGTATGGGTTGCGCCATGGGTAGAGGATATTCGAATTATGCAGTCGCTATTACCAACGCGCGGTTTCACGTCCTTGGTATCATCGTCGTTCGTAGTGGGTTTAGATGGTCTATTGGCTGTAGCTACAGTCCTCATCGGCCGGACGTCAAGTCAACGAAAAAAAAACAGAAATCTTTTTTGGAGCTTCGCCAAAGGCTATTTTACGACCATCATACGGTACTAGAGTGCTACACCATGTGAAGCAATCAGATGATGGGTGTCAATAGGGCAGCCACTATGATTGTTAGTTCGATCAATCCGACCAATGTGGCGCCTATTGAGTTTCTGACCAGACACAATTTCGGAAAAAAGATACTCCCGACTAAGTCTTTCGTCCTACCGCTACAGTACATTTTCTCTTTCATCGATCCCGTTTCTCGTCAAGGCAGATCTTGTATCTTGCTCATAATACAATCGAATAAAACATTCTACAGAAACATCATCATGGATCAACTTATGAAACTCGCTGGTGATGCTGGTCTTTCCGAAGAACAGGGCAAGACTGCAACCGGTGGCATCATGTCCATGGTGAAACAAAACTTGGATTCGGGCAGCTATCAAAAGATTGTCCAACAAGTTCCCGAAGTCGAAGGATTGGTGAAAGATAGCGACAAAGAAGCCACCGGTGGCGGCGGCGGTCTCATGGGCCAAGCCATGGGCATGATGGGTGGTAGTTTGGGTGGCGCTGGACAAGCTGGTTCGATTGCAAGCTTGCTTACCTTGATGCAAAGCAAGGGCATTGGAGCCGAACAAATGAATGCGTTCATGCCTCAATTGGCTGCCTTTATCAAATCCAAGTGTGGAGTGGACATCGGCAGTCAGCTTGGCGTCTCGGCAGATGGAGCTGCTGCTCCTGCTCCTGCTGCCGGTGGTTTTGATGCCTCTAAGCTCGGTGGGATGATGGGTGGAATGTTTGGGAAGTAAAATGAGGATTGGAAAACGAAACTCTGATGAGATGCATATTATACATGGAGGACAACTAGGACTACCACTCGAGAGTGAAATGCTCTAGGGCTGAAATATTTCGATGATGTTTTTCATGGACCGATTGATTCTTCGTACTAAGATGACAATCTGTCAACAGAAATAAACCTAGAAAAAAATATACGCAATAGCATGTATCATGTTGGTATCATCTGCTTCACTTATTAGTATTGCTGCCGGGATGCACAAGGAACGACAACGATGATAGTATTCATTCCAGACTACTACTACTGCGAGCACGAAATGAAACTACAATACCACACGAGACAAACATCACAATACCGTACCACCAGTGTACTATGCTGGCATCATTCAGTACCGGCATGCGATTAGAATGTTGGTTTCGAAACACATGTGCGTCGCATGCAATGCAGCCTCTTTCAACCTACGCTATTGCATCAAGACAATAATACCGTAGTACTGTGTCAACAAGGAAAGGTGTCAAAAAGATTGTTCTTCTTCGGGGAGCAGAGAAGAGGCTTCATGCAGCACTTGGACCGGACATATCCCTTGTTCTTTGTCCGCACCGGGTGCTGTTGTGCATTGTCGTTCGCACGGTCTCGGTGTAGTTGAAGACCTTGGCCTTCACCATTGCTGATTCGTGAGATGGATTCTTATTTCCGGCATCAAGTGTGGCAGATCGATTGCACATGGGGTGCATCTCGGTCCCAAGTCTACCAAGTCAGCGAAGAGCATACGCGCAGTATTATATTTACTCGCAATATTCCTGGTCCACTCTAGAGATCGGTCAAATGCTTTTAGGACTACAAGACAACAGGACATGAAAGAATTCATTATGGTTTTTAAAGTTGTTGTATCCACCAAAGCACAGTAGGTAATAGATTGTTTTAGCTAGCTACGCATTGTGTCAGTCAGTCGTTAGATCATTCCAAGACGCTTTGTTGCAAAGCGCATTGTTTAACCCTTGACGGGGACACCAGCGTGCTTCTCAACAACATAGGCGCAGTTCTCGGAAACCTTGTCCCAGTTGACAACATTCCACCAGTTGGAAACGTATTCGGGACGACGGTTTTGGTACTTCAAGTAGTAGGCATGTTCCCAAACATCCAATCCAAGGATTGGGAACATGATTTCGTCCTTGACACCCTTCATGAGTGGGTTGTCTTGGTTGGGGGTTCCAACAATTTCTAGCTTGTCACCAGCTTGGTTGACGCAGACCCAGACCCATCCAGATCCAAAGACGGCTCCAGGAGCGGCTTGGGCCTCGAACTTGGCCTTCATCTCATCCATGGACCCGAAGGACTTGTCGATCAAACCAGACAATTGGTCTGAAACCTTGGACTTCTTGGCAACATCAGCAGGTGCCATTTCTTCCCAGAAGAAGGCGTGGTTGTAGTGACCACCTCCACTGTTGCGAACAGGCCCGGCTTCCAAAGCATCAGCCATCAAGTCCAAGATTGGGACTTCGTCCTTGCCTTCCATCGCCTTGTTGATGTTAGCAACGTAAGTGGCGTGGTGCTTGTCGTGGTGGATCTTCATGGTAGGAGCATCAATGTATGGCTCCAAAGCCTCAAAGTCATACGGAAGATCGGGAACAAAGTAGGCATTGGCAGCACCAGGGACAGCAAGAGCGGCTCCAGCAGCCAAAGTCTTGCCGAGCATTTCACGGCGACTGGATTCTGGAACATGATGAGACCAAAAAGGGGGAAACAAAAAAAGGAAGTGAGTCAGACACTGGTAGAGCCACATTCACAACGATATGCTGTTGATAATGGAGAATGAATCCAACAACAGGTTGGCATCGACATTGGGAAAACCAAGCAAAAGAACCTTTGGGTGACAGGACAGGAATCAATCTGTCAATTGACACGTGCAGTAATACCCATCGGATCTTTGCGCCGTTGGACCTGGCTGACATGAAGATAAATGTGGTGGACAACATCCAAACCAATCGTATCATATCAAACATCTCAGGTAAGAGCCTAGAATCGACAGTGGCCGCGAGCTATTCCATTCAGCGATTGATCGTAGAATAAGGAATCAGATATCTGATTCACCCAAAAGTTGCTGTGGTCACCACCAGCACCACTACAGTACTATTCCGATCCAATATACCATCAAAGATGTCATGGATTGTCGACAAAAAGATTCTTCCATCACAACGAGGAATTCCTCACCTGGAGTAAGAGCAGCGGCAGAACCGAGGAGAAGAGAGGCAGCAAAGAATTTCATGGCAATGGTTGTAAGTGGATAGAAACCAAAATATGTTTCAGCAAGAAGGTGGAAGTTGATGGATCGGTCGAACCCTAGGAATGCAATAGATACTGGTAGTAGAATACAGTAGGTACGGAGATCGCTCGTCAAATGAAAAGATCGGAAGATTGATCCGAACCATTTGTTGCTGACGTACACACATCACTGGAGGGGGAGGGGAAACCGATCGGCTTCCATTGGAGGGAACTAAA